TTGCAGGTGGATGGCTACTCAGGCACCAATGCACCCTGTATATTCGTATCTAAGTGTAAATAAAAAAAAGATAAGAAAAGAAAAGAAAAACACTCTCAGATCATTAAATTTAGGACATATATAAACATTACAGTTTCCCATGTAAGATGAAACACCATCAAGTAGGCACATAAGGAGGAAACCGTGCAGAGAAGACATAGAGAAGCTAAGAGTATAGAAGACTTACTAGAGTGGGTAACCAACTTGAAAAAGCAGCAATGCCAGCATTTGGAGCAATGACTAGATGAGGCAAAGAATCCTGTCCACAAAGAATATTCCAAAATTACAAACTGTCAACCAGGATATGTACTTCACTTGTTTTGAAAAAAGGACACTATCACTTCACGTAATTCTGATTTAAGGATAATTTGGTCAGAACACAAAGTGGTGCTCTAGTTGTAGAAGCATTCTGCAACATGGAAATGTTCCCAGTAGCAGGAGAATGCCAATCTGGTGCTCTCAGAGATAGGGCACTTACCACTGATTGGTTTCTGTCTCAGGGAATGCCATTGCAGTCCCATTCTTCAACTGGGAACATGGCAACAGTGAATGCCAATTTCTTTTTCCAGTTGCCAGACAACACCAATAGGGTGCTTTCTGGCATGAGAAGTGCTAATCAGGGACTCACCAACCTTGGAAGCCAGAGTCTGGTGGTTCCCAGCCATGAAATTGCCAGATAGGATGCTGGAAGCCTTTTTTTTCTTCTTCTTCTTTTTTCATTCCAATTTTTAGTTAATAAAAGATTAGGTATAGTAAATAATTAATAGATTCAATTAATGAAAACGAATTCCACATCATTAAAAACATCCAATAAAATTTGCCACGCCATCAGGTGGGATTGTTATTAACCATCGCATAACCATTTTCCATTCAAATTATCCTTAAATCAGAATTTGATGTGAGTTTTATGTCTTTATTTTTCACTTTTGCCCAAGCAAAAAATAGATGTGTAAGAGGAAGAAACCTTGATGATATCTCTAAAACGGTCATGATAAAATCCTCTATGGAATCGCAACATCACTCCTGAAGTTGTACCAGTGTCCATGCTCCGGCTGATATTCTTACTTTCAGATTTGCAATCACAATCTGATTCAATGCAATGGGCATAGTTCCAAATATCTTTCTTTTCACCATCCCTGTTAATCAAGAATCACAGAAATAACCAACCATCAAGTCATAATTGATTTAAGTATCATACAAGCACAGAAGATCAGACTTGACTCAAAGACAAACCAACCAGGTTGAGTGATATTATGCTAAAGAAAAACAAATTAAAAAATATATATATATGATAAAGTGTGTGAAACAACCTATGCTCCGGAATTGCAGGTCCAATAAGATCTATGTGGACCTGAACACCAGGAAAAAGTGCCTGCAACTCTCCAAAAACAGCAAGTTGTAGAAGTTCTTTCTCAGGCCCTTTTGAAACCCAAACCAAAAGGAAAAAGTTAATTTAGAGAAGCTGCTAGGAAGCTACAAATAAAAACAACCAACAAATTAACCATAATCTAAAAGGCAAATGAATTTTCTTCCATGTACATAAAAACCGTGCAACACAACAAGATGTTGAACCCCCAAAAAATAATTGATAATTTTTGATAAATTATAACATGCAGTTCCAAACAGAAATACAGTACTGTTGACAGCTTTTCAAGTCCAGTGTAACTGTAAGTCAGAGTTGTAGTACCATTCTTTATTTACTTAATATAATTGTTTTTAATTGCAAATCCTGGAAAATTCATTTCTATCATGATTATCAACATTCATTGAGCATGTAGCTGATTCAACATATAAGTATATAACACTGTGACAAGCAAGCATGACATTGAAATTGTAAAGCATGGAGATTATAAAGTTGAAGGAGGCTATTACCAAGATAGTGGATGCATAATTTACTAATTTCTGAAGTCAAGCTACTCAATCCAGCAACTTGAATTGCATAATATATTGTAAGTGGCTGAAACAAAAGCAAAAAATAAAAAATGCGGCACAATAAGAACAGTAAAACTTAACATTTGTAGGCTTGCTGTAAATGCCAAAATAAAAAAAAATATATAAAGCATCGAATGTAGTCCTTTCCCATTTGTTTTAACAGATAGTGCAGTTAAAAGATGTGTATGAACCCCAGTTGATAATGAGAAGGGCTAAAGTTTAATTTTCAACTGCTTGCTCAAACACATTACACACTGCATACCCAGTGAAGGAGCAAAGCAATGGGGGAATGTAGTGGGATGCACCTCCACTCATAGTACTCTTGCCAATTGCGCAATTCCTTTGACAGTCGGTAAGAGGACCCTGCATGATTACACAGTCAATCCCAAATCACCCACTTGATCAAAACAAAAGGGTAGAAGCAAACAAAAGTACCACGACATGGGCACAAGGAATTTGGGAGATCCCAACTGTTACTCTCAAACCTGTGAACAAGTAAAATAAGAGACCAAAATTTAGTCCAAACTTGCATAAACTACAGATCTGATTAATAAATTACTTTCACTCATAACAAAAATGCACTGTTTTCTATCCAAATTGCAGATTAGACAACACTCAAAATATACAGAAAATACATGAATGGCATGGCTACTCAAAATATACAGAACCCTGGGAATGGCATGGCTATTTACATTCACAAAACACATGGGCTAACACATGTACATAATCACCACATCACAGAAAAGCAAAAGATGAAAGAAACCTGGCATAATCCAAGGAAGCAGACGATGCCCCACAAGTACATTCACACTTCCACATTCCCACTCCATGAATGCCCCTTGTGTTCAAGAACGAGCACCTGCTCCCTTCCTTTTCACTTATCTATCAAAAATTACACCAAAAGAATCATCATCCCAACTCTATTAAACTCACATATAAAATTTGAATAACTAAAAGGAAGTTCAAACGCACATCCCATGACCCTTACACGAAGCGTAGCTTCTTCAGAGAAAGTGAAAGGAAAATCATTCAATTCATCGACCCGCTTCATTTGCTGTTCTAACCTTTCACACTCTTCTTTGTGATCCTTCCAATGAGAAATCTAAATGCAATTTCGAATTGAAGTTGAAGAAGAATAGAAACAGCGATTGACATCCATTAAAGCATAACGATGTTAATTGAAGAGAGCTGATAAATCAAAGAACCTGATGAGATACAGAGCAATAAGCAACGGCTCCGCAGCGAGCACAGCGTCTTCTCGCCGGACCTATGCACCGAGTTCCCCGCCCCTTCCCGGCGCACTCCATTGACGACTCCGATGTCCTCTACGCAGAGCTCAAACAAAAACAAAAACAAGAGCAGTTGGGGGAAATGATGCAGCGTTAAATGTCGTTTTGGGCTCTTTTAAGAAGCCCGTATCCTCGAAAAAAACTTTCCAGGTCCAGTGTACCATGCGATGATTGTCAACTTGGACTGTCATACGGCCCGTTTCCAGTGAAAAGGAAGGGGGAGATGGTTTGAACTGGATGAAAAAAACTGATGAGAAAAGCGGGC